CTCCAGCAAGAAGACTTAGCTCACGGTTGACGCTATTCATACAAATGGTAACAGTTGGAAGTAGTTGCTGAGGGCATGCCAAAACGAAAGCCTGCAAGCACCTCGAGGCATAGACTTGAACAGTATAGCTAGGGTGTTGCAGTACTTGTAGCAAGGCCTCGCGGCATGACTCCGCAACGGTATTGGTAGCTGCACCCAACCGTCGTATAAGAGACGTAAGTGCACTGAGAGCTCCCGTCAAGGCCTGCTTCCCCGGTTCTGGACGTTCTTTAAGAGCTTGAGGATAATCCTTGATGATGTCGTTTAGAAGGAAGCGCGCTGCGTTCAGCTGCGCAGTCTCTCCGATCATGTTCCCTGCGACTTCTTCGAGAATTATGCGGACAAACTTCCTCGTGATGAGCAACCTGTATCGGTGTGTACTCAAACTCTGGTAGCTGAGAAGGTCATTGAATAGATGGGTCGCGACCACGCCGTAGTGATTTTCTACGATGCTCTCTCCTAAACCAAGGATCACTTTCTGGTAGCACACCGCAATCCCGGCGCGAGCGCGGTTGCCTGTTGCCGGACGACAGTATTGATTGGAGAGATGTTTGAAGATCTCGAGAAGACCGAATGAAAGCGATGTAACGGGCTTTTGAGGGACTGGCGAGGCGGCCCGTTCTGTTTCTTCTTCCGCATCTCCGTCATGTACCTGCTTTCTCGCCTTCTTGGGTTTCTTGATCCTTGGAACAACTTCCCTGTTCGGCGATTCGGAGAAGCTCTTGACCAGAACCGCGCTTAAACACGAAGCTGCGGCGTGCCTAACGGATACCGATGGACTGTCGATCGTCTTCCAGATCACTGTCTGTAGTTTCTCGAAATCGTTGGAATTGTCGAAGTATGGCGTGGCGCATATCAGCTGCTCCAAACACCAACAGGCATTGGCCTGCACCAGTAGTGTTTTGTCGCCAGGTGCGAAGGTCCTTCCTTGTTTCCAGATATCCCTGGCTATTGTCTCGTCAATGGAGTTATACACGCCCTTCACTATCTGGCCCAATGTACGGAAAACAGCACTCCGAAGTCCGGCATGGGCCGAAGCGTTCTTCAATGCCCGTAAGACGCTCGAGCTAGCCAAATTTGACAGGTTTGTAGCACTGTCGCCGGCCGCCTCGTAGACCGCTCCAAGACAATGAACTGCTGCGTGTTTGGCCTTGATGTCCTTCTCTTTACCACTCCCAATGATGCCAACTAGTTCATTGATAGACTCGAAAAGAAGCTTCCGATCACCCTTGCCGAATATTCCGGCGAAACACCGCCCAAGGTTATTGCGAATCACACGAGTTGGAGCGGGTGACGAAAGATTGATGATCTGAAACAGCTCCTTCTTGATGAAGATCTGATGCGCTGATGCGCCATCTGCGTCTAATCCAGCGACATGGCGTGCAAGATCCGCGGTAAAGGTCAAAAGATATAGGTCCTGTTGTTCCGACGGCAGCGTATGGAGCTTTGGTACATCCAGTTCGAGTTTCGGGGACTCCGCAGCGGGTGCTGTCCCGTTGGTCACCATTTCAGCAGCAGATGCTCTCTCTGGAATATCGACCGATCTCTCTATATCTCTTTCATTGCTTCCCTCAAGTCTCTCCGTTGTATGGCAGGGGTATCTGGATACATATGCGGAGAGATTGTCTCACCCCGAGCTCGAGTCCGCATCTATGCGTTATGCAGGGACAAAAACGTCGACTCTCGTCGGTCCCATCATATCTTATCTGACGGCCTTGGCATGGTTCATGTTAGAGGTTCTTGCGCCTGCTGTTCTGGACTTCTCCAACAACCAATGCAACCCGTTCGTCGCTCAGCGCTGCATAGCATACGGTCGCAGCGTGCTCGGAAGCCATCAGAGCTGCAATGCCCACGCTCGTTTCATAAATGCGCCAGTCTGCGCTCCGGTCACAGCAGATGGTCAACGATTAAGCACGACAAGGGCAAGGCCGATGCTGCTCGAAACAGGCAACGAAGCGTCTTTGCGCATGAAATAGCGCTAGCATCAAAACGCAAGTTGAACCACATGTGTTCTCCTTCCTTCCTCAAGCAGCTAAAACGGCGCAGTATGGGGACCGGATCCCAACGCGAACCCCCGTCTGGCGGACCTGATCACCAATGCGAAGAAGAATCAGTTTCCCAAGGCCTCGATTGAAGGAGCCATAGCTCGCGGACAAGGCCGTTCAATATCTGGTGCTTCTCTGGAAGCTGTGTCCGTTGAAGGGATCCTAGCGCACAACGTTGCCGTCATCATTGACTGCGAAACGGACAACAAGCTTCGAACACTGGCCGATGTCAGGGAGGTCATGAAGAAATATAGTGGAACTGCCACCCCCACAAACTACCTCTTTGCGAAGAAAGGAAGGATAGTCTTCGAGAAGAAGGAAGGCACAGGGGTAGACGAAGTCTTCGATCAGGCGCTCGAGGCTGGCGCCTTGGACGTGATCGAGGACGCGGAGGGAAGAGTGGTCGTTTTCACGGAGCCAAGCGACACAAAGTCGACAGGAGAAGCGCTGTCAGGCGGACTAGGCCTGAACATTGCAAGCTCCGATATAATATGGGACCCGAATGAGGACACGATGGTGCCACTGAGTGACTCAGTGGCTGCCAAAGAACTGAGCGAGTTCGTGGATGCGCTGCAGGACAAAGATTCGAGCGTTCAAGGAATATACATGAACGTGGCGCAAGGCTCTATAGATGAAGGTGCCTGGGCCGAGTTGAAGAGCAGAATTGACGCGTAGTGCACGATGTTGTACAACAATCTACAGTTATGATGTTCCACCCCATCTCTTGACACCCAGAACTCCTCCCAAATCTGTGAACTTTATCACCAAACGCCACCCATGCAAATGCTTTCTTTACCACAACTTGTACCAACCCTTGCCGGTTGCCGCTGCTTTCGCCGGTGCTTTCTCCGCGTCATTGCTAGGCCGTGCTTCTGACTCTGTATTGTCAAGACTCCTCAACAGAGGAGAAGGCGTTTCCGCGTGTGGTGTCATCTCTGGCGCATCTGCTCCGCCCTCCATCTGCAATCTCCTTGCCCTCGCCGCCAATCTTCGTTCCCTCAGTCTCTGCAGCTCCTCGGTAATCTCCTCCTTCTCGAACGGAATCTTATTGGTCTCGTTTGCTTTCGGCCAGAAATCGGGGACGGCGAATTTTTGGTCGAGGTTTGTTCCGAAATAGTACATCCAGCCGATTGGAAACATGATGTACATGCCAAACTGCGGTCAACCGTGAGATTGCTTGCGCTCGTATTAGACGGAGGTCTGAAACTGCTGACCTTGAAGACTTCGAGATTCGGGCCACCCATCCTGACTTTGGTGAGATTCTGATAGCAGGACGTACGGGGAGAATCGATCCTTTATTAATCTGGTCCGCCATCAGGTGAGCGCAAGCGAAGACACTCTTGCGATTCTTAGGGCTTCGGCATAGATCTAAGATTAGATAACGTAATCCGGCGCGCTTCTCCTTCTCCGCATCTCAAGCAACCTCGGTTCATGCTTGAGCTCGCAGCTCGCAGCTCGCATCCTTCCTAGGCATTGGGTAGTCACGTAGGATGACTATATGGTCAAGAGCAATCCCTCTTTTTCTCTAGATCCCGTATCACCTAAAGAACGCCTTTCTTTTTTTTTTTTCAACAGCCCCGGTTCACTGCCCGTATCTTCAACATGGCCGAAGCAGTTACCCTTGAGACTCGAGGCAAGGTTGCCATCATCAAGTTAAACCAACCAAAGAAACTCAATGCTATGAACCAAGATCAGTACTATCGGCTCGCAACATTGATGCACGAGGTCGCCGCCATGGATAACATCTATATCACTGTTCTCACAGGAACGGGTCGCTTCTTTTCCGCGTATGCTGTCTTCGGAAGTATCCTTTATCGCACGCTGACACTAGAGCAGCGGTGCTGATGTAACTATCGGCCGCTCAGTGCCCGAAGGTGAGGACATCAAGAGGCATTTCCTGAAGACCTTCGTCGCCAACAACCTCCACATCACGCACGCTTTCTACTCGCATCCCAAGATCTTGGTCACAGCGCTTAACGGTCCTGCCATCGGTCTGTCGGCAGCGCTGGTCGCGTTCTCAGATTTTGTGTATGCCGCACCTCACACTTTTCTCCTCACGCCTTTCTCGTCTCTGGGTCTTGTAGGAGAGGGAGGCGCAAGCCGTGCGTTTGTAACTCGCTTGGGGATCAGCAAGGCGAACGAGGCGCTCATCATGAGTAAGCGCATCACGGCGGATGAGCTGGTCCAGTGTGGATTTGTCAACAAGACGTTCGACACCAAACCCGAGGAGAGCGACAAGTTCCTCGCCGAGGTCTTGAGAGAAGTCGAGGACAGGATGGGTGACCATTTAAATTCGGACAGCTTGATCCAGATCAAGGCCCTGATCAGAAGGCCGGAAAAAGATATTCTAGATGCGCAAGGTGTTGCAGAAGTATTTGGTGGTTTGGAACGTTTCGTGGCCGGAATCCCCCAGAAAGAGTTCCAGAAGATCGCAAGCGGCGAGAAGAAGCACAAGCTGTGAGAGTGTATCTCAACTGTCCGCAATCGTCCGTCGAGGCGTTCATGCGAGTCTTGAAATCCGTGGCGCAATTATCTCAAAACTGGTGTTTGGAAAGAAGGCAAGCTCGCTTACGGACATACTAAAAACGACGATGACTTCCAGCGCAACCTACTGCTAGTCCGCCGTCTTCCGCTTTTACTGTGAATGACACAATCTGCGACAAAAGTGTGTTCGTTGGACTCGCAGGATTGATATTTCATAAATTACCCGTTGCTCCAAGTTTTTCCCACTTTGCAGGATATAGACGAACCCTTAGCTAGACCCGCTGGCCGGGTAGTTGATCATCCATGTGATTCATCCAGCCTAGCTAGAACAGCTGGGATAAAGCGGTTTTGGCAGTCGATGCGCCTTTGCGCTTGAGGCTTGCGCAGAGTTGAATTTGTATAAGGTTTGTGATCAAGCGTTTGGCACCGCTAGGCGTGGTAGCAAAGTGGTTACTGCGATTGACTCGAATTCTTCTTCTACAAGAAGGAAGCCCGAATATCAATTCCCTTCGGGGGCGTAGGTTCGAATCCTGCCCACGTCGACGTGCGTTTTGCACTCCTATCAGAGGACGCCGCTGCTCCTTTTGCTTATGCGTGATGGAAACAAACAGATGTGAAGCTTGATTGAGACTTAAGCAAGGTACGGGCGAGGTGTGGTTGGGTGCTTGCCGGCAACCACTTCAATTTTATATCGGTGGAAGAGGATGGATAAATTATACAGTCTATACCAACAGATGGGCGCTACAACATATTGGAATATAAGAACAAGGAATGGCCGCTGTCCGGGTATCCTCCAGATTACACAACGCTGTACATCGGTATTCACAAACAAGAAAGAACAGGGAAAAAACGGCTGTTGTCAAGAGGTGCGTCTAGCTGGCGGCCAAGTAGCGTGCTGGATGCCACCATTTGGCAAAGGCTGTCTGACTCCTGGGACGCCAGAAGCTTGCTGCCTGTCCGGCCTCGCAGGCATTCGCGGCTCGGCGTCGAGCTGGACGGCACGCCGTTCGGCAACCGCCCCTTCATCCTGGAGCTGTTCCTGCGATGGAGGATCGGCGGGAAGCTGAGCGGGGTGTTCATATGCTGGCATCTCTGGGTATCGATGCCCCTGACTGTCAGGGTGATATTGACGGTCATAAAACGCACTGGCGCGGTTGTTGGAGGGTACTTCAACCGGCGAGCGAGACCCTGCCATCCCCGTGTGCGAACGATAAGCCCTGTCGTCGAGTGGTGGTTGTATTCCTGAGACAATGTTGCGTTTCTCGGACATCTGCCGGACGTAGAGTTTGTCGAGAGGGCCTGGTTCGGAGAGCCCTCTGAAACGCCGGCCATGATCGGGTGCGCATCTTCCTCTCCGGTGCTGGACTAAGATTCTTGCTACTCTTTTCAAGTCTTCGTGAACCATGTTCTTCGTCTCATCCGAGTTCCTTCCCTTGATGTAATCTGCGGTGGCATTGCCGATCCTTTCGAGTGTCTTGGGATGACCGTCTTTTGAGATTTTGCACTCGTCCAGCTTCATGTTCTCGAGTCCTTTCCTGACGTTGAAGCGATGATACACGTGGCGGCAATGCAGCCGCATGTGTTCATGGACTTTCTCTGGGTCGGTCAATTTCTGCATGGCCACGCTGAAGATCCGTCCAATCTGGTGAAAGAGGTTGCCGTCGCTGAAGACGTTCATGGGGGCGCTCCTGCCAGTTCCGATGGACACAAGGATTCCAATGCCATCGTCTTCCCCGCTACAGTTGAGTCCGCGGTGGCGGTGCATGGAATTGGCTTCACCCCAAGCAATAGCACTGGGGTTGTTGTCCGCAATGCCACCATCCACATACTCAATCAGATTGATCTTCATAACCTTGAAGAAATGTGGCGCCGCTGAAGTCGCTCGTGCAGCCTGCCAAATCTTAACATCGCTCTGTTCTGTAAGGTTCTTCAACCTCGTGTGCTCGAGGACATCTCGAGAGAAGACATCGGTCGGGTTTGTGGGGTTATGGTACGAACGGAAGAGGTGCGTTACATGTGCGTCGTCGGTACGCTTGGTGGCTACGACGGCACTATGGATAGGTCAGCTCCTGCGCCTATAAATTGAGGATTGTGACGTACACCCGGCAGTAGGTTCTCGGCGCCTGTCGCCCTTTGTCCCTCCCGTCTGCGGGATCCCGTAAAAGACGATCTTCTGGATTCATGTCCTCGGTTTCATCTCTACATCGGCTATCGATCGTTTCCTTGATAACTTTCTCAAGCTTGCGGTAGCTGTACTGGTTAAATTTGAGGCGGCGCTTCTTTCCAAAGACTTCTTTACCCAGCTTCGCATAAGCCGCTAAGCATTGGTCGACAGACATACGCATTCGTCCAAGCATTATTGCAATGAGACTGTCAAATCAGCGATAGCGTACGAGAGACGAACCGGTGAAGCCAAACTTACCCTCCCGTGCTAGTGCCAACCATGAAGTCAAAATAATGACAGGGCAGTGGTACATCTGCCCCATCACTCTCCGCCGCGTAGCCATCTTTACGATCTTCTTCTCGTTCCGCATCTTGGATGAAGTCCATCAAGCGTCCCAGAATGAGCAGCGAGGAGTATCCGCGCATGCCACCGCCATCTGTACGCGTCAGTGCCTAGCCGATCTGAGAAGCGGCGAATATCTACCAAGCGTAAGAACAGCTTCCTTCCAGAACCCACAGTTGCATCGGGCAGATCCGGTTTCTGCTGATTCGGCTGACATCGTGACTGAGATTTGAGAATTGCTTGTGCGCTTGACCTCAGCAGGGCAGCGCACACGAGGCGGTCCATTCGTTTTATTACTAGCATAGCGTACCGCCTATAGCCAAGGCAAGAAGGCGGCGGTGCTTGCAGACACGGCAACCTCTGTTGAGGAATGCCACCGCCATTTCTCGTAGCCTTGTAGAGAGCTGGTAGACCTGAGAGAGGGGGCAGGATAGGAAGCCAATCACAAAAGGCCTGGGCAGGACCGTCCGAGCAAGACCGTCAAAGGCGTTCATGACTCCGTGTGTGTGTACCAAATCCGGCGACACTGCGGTCAGGCTACCATGGTTCCATGCTTATGGTCATGAGAGGCGCAATGAGTTGCATTGTAGTCTCGCGTCCGAGTCATCATCTCAGACTGTGATTGGCCTCGAAGCGCTTAGCCCCTCAGCTGAAGGGCTGTGCAGAATTCCAGAGGTCGTAAGACTTCAAGGCTGAGGCGCAATCCTTGCCATACGCCCACCACCTGCTGAAAATAACCAAACATAGTCCGTGCCGCCGCTAGGCGCACCACATACTTCAGTCAGGCCCCGCTTGACAAACATGGCGACAAACGATATATAGGCCTACGCCATTCACACATCCACCATTATCAATCGCGGCAGCTGAACGTACTATACCGTTTCAAACATTAACAGCGAATGTCAGAATATTGAAAAGTATGTCTCGCTGCAGCTTGTTAGAGAAGGACTCGCCAGAACCCACATATCCTCAGTATCCTATCAAGAGAGAAAGTCAGGACGGACTTATGGATGGCAAGTCGCCGAAAGAACTCGAGAAAGACGTCTGGGTGTACGTTTATGACAGAAATAAGACTATCAAGATAAAACAGAGGGAGCTCTTGAGTAAAGTTGGTATGCGCTTCGTGCCAGCCCTGATAAGACGACGTACCTAACGAAACCAGGCGACGAGAATCTGAGAAAAGTTTCAATACCTCTGAAGCCCGGAAGAGTGCCGATACGATTGCAGGACCGGCCGCGATGGGGTCCGGACACGTTTGTTGCTTCGGTCAACATCAACGCGGCTTTGCGAGTTTCTCGATGGCTGGGCCAACAGAAAATACTCTACGTTGCTGGAACAATGTCCTAATGCTGCTTGCAGTAAGATCACTTGAGTATGGCTTCCGGTATCCTAATGCTAAAATCCTGTTAGATTGACGCAGTCCTCTCAACGGGCTGTAGTTTTTTGTTGATGTGTTGTGTTTCGATGAGATTACAGGTCGCTGTTGGGACACGTACGACGATAGCTCTAGGAACTCCGATGGGCATCCAAGGGAGGTTCGCTCGCGCTTTTGCGTTGTTTGGTAGTATTGATCCTGTATATAACCTCAGAAGAATCAAGATTGATCCACTTTCTTCTTAGAACCCCCTGCGTTCCTATTTTCAGGAACGGTACCAGTAACAAGCCGAACACACTGGCCGCCGTCGCAAACCAGAAGACTGCAGAATATGGCTGTGTCTCCCTGTAATTCTTGTAATACCCACCCATGTCTGGGTTCTGCGAGACCGAGTTGAAGATGGCGGTAGTAATACCATACCCAATCGTCTGGCAGAGTTTTGTAACCGTCTGGAAGATTCCTCCCGCGATAGATTGCTGCTCTGGTGGAAGTGACGACACGACATACATGTTCGCGACGTTGAACTGCAGATCCGCTCCCACGACCATCAGAACGAAGCCAGGGAAGAAGAAGGCCCAGTAGCTGTCATTTCTGCGATTGACCGCAAACAGGAGGAAGGCTCCGGTATACCCTAACGTGCCGACAAGCATGAGCAGCTTGTTTGAGATGCGATGGAGCACCAAACCCGCGAAGATGTTCACACATATACCCATGATGGCCATGGGTAGCAGGTGGACGGCAACTTTGAGTGCCGAATAGTGCCAGATGTTCTGGAAGTAGAGCGAAGCGAAGAACGCCGAGACCGAAAAAGCCATGTTTCCGAGAAACAAGAGAGCCATACAGATAGAGAAATCTCGGTCTTTCCAGATGCTCATGGGTACGAGCGGGTATTTGCAGAAGTTCTCCCAGATGACGAAGCCGATAATCAACAGAGCACCAACGATCAGGAGTGCCAGAACGTATCCAGTCTTCCACCCCTGAGGTGCCGTGTCGCCCAGGGATAAGGCTGCCGAAAGCATTCCAATACCGGCGATGGTTAGGACCGTTCCAAGGATGTCAAACTTCTTGACAGTCTCCAAAGCCAGCGGTTCCTTTGCGGTGAAGTCCTTCGGGACAGTGAAAACCGCGATAATGGTGAAGACCAGGTATATCATCGCAAGGAGATAATAGCTCGCTCTCCAGCTGAACAAGTTTGTTGCTATCCCGCTAAATATCGTCCCAAATACAAATCCTAAGGGATTGCCTGCCCCGTAGCATGCAAACGCTTTGTTCTTCCTTTTGCTCGGTTTCTCGTAGATCACGCCCATGATACCCTGCGCTGGAGGTACAGCGCTTGCCGTCATCAATCCCATAACGCCGTTGAGTACATCCAGAGATATCGGTGTTTTGGCAAAGCCTGCAGCGAGAGAGAATACTGCGAAAAGGAAGAGGGAGCCCACGAAGAGGGATTTGCGGCCGAACAGGTCAGCAACCTTGCCGAAGAACAAAGGAACGCACCACCTGCCAGTCTGCCATACAGTCAGCTTTGTCTGGTTCAGCGGGTGCGAGGGATGTACTCACGTGGACGCGGAAGAGATCCATGTTATTTCGGCGGTCGTCATGCCCAGGTCTCTTCCCACAAATGAACTGATGACAGTGACGGATCCAGAGGTGAAGGCGCC